TTTCAATAAGCTTTTAAGGCAATAGTTATTTCTTCCTGAAGGGTGTATTAAATAAGATATTGGCCGAAAAACAGATTTACTGAAAGACGTATTAAACGATAGACATATTGACTGAACGATGTGTTGACGTAACTTTTTATTGTCGTTTTCGACTGAAAAACGTATCGACGACTGAAAAATGTATTGTGTTCATGATACTATAACAAAACAAGATAAGTCATCGCGCATATCCTTGTGACGTAAGCCCGAGACAACTTTAATGACGGCAAGTTAAATGCTCATAAGTGTTCATGTTAATTATGTTGCTGTGTAAATCGAGTTTGCTATCCTGTGTTTTTCAAAACGTAGTTAATGATATTTTTATTTATTCATTGATGTGTAAAGACTTTGTATATTTATTGTTATATAAATTTTGTGGTGAAAACATTCAGTTTACTGTGTTAATATCATCTAATTTGTTTATCGTACGCAACTTCCTCTCGGACTACCTGTAGCTACTTTATAAAGAAGACTAATTATTTGTTTGCCATAATGTATTGTGCAGTGGTGGGTTGTTTAAAAAATAATAATAAAAAAATTAAAACTTTTTCGACGTGTCGTTTTTTTATGTTTCCTAGAGACAAACAAATGCGTAAAGTATGGGTCTCCAAGTGTTTTCAGCGAGACAAATCTAATGTAGAAACCGCGAGAATATGATCAAAGCATTTTATAGAAGCTGATTATTGTTTAAAAGAACTATTGGGATTGCCTGACAAATAGTGGAAGTTAAAAAATGATGCAATACCTTCTCATCATTTAATAAAATCCCCAAGCGGTAAAACATCGCCTGAAAATAGACGCAAAAGAAGAATGGAGCAAAGAAATGTATTAAAAAACATGTATGTATTTTGGTTTTAGACACACTTTAACAGCAGAGCAAATATTTGTATAGATAATAATATACTAATGCACATTTTAATATAACTTGAAGTAATACTTTATTTTTGATAGACCTTTAAAAAAAGTTACTTTGGATGTATGTAATATGTAGGGGAAATGTGCCTATGATGGTCCCCTTAAGAAAATAGCTTCATAATAATTTTAATTATTTACTTAGCAGACTTTAAATATGACCACATAACGTCTCGTTATTTGTACAATATGGCAAATGTTTCAAATTTTGCAGAAAAAGTGATGTTAAAAATTTATTCATAATTTACTAAAATCCTGTTAAGGGTCCATCATGGGCATATATGCGCTCATGATGGACCCTTTGGTACGCACATGATGGACTCGTTGCATTTTGTGTAAAGTAATTAAATACCAAATTATTTTATTAGGTCAAAAGACATTACAAACGATAAAAAATATTACACATGGTATTTTTAAGAATAAAAAAATTACGCGCACAATTCACACACAAATTGTTTATGTCGAGGATTTACATCTGCACATTCAGTGTGACACCAATTCTTACACACTTGACAACGAATCCATTTTTCATTGGATCGTGAATGCGCAAATAGTTCGTTACAGTAGATGCAAGCTGCATCGTCCGAGTCGCCTTCTACAAACGAGCATTCACAATCGTCTTCAGAACCACTTGTAGTTGAAACACGAACTTGCCTTTTCACTTTTCTGGCGTCTTGTTTCCTTTTTTTTTGCTTCTTTGTCTGCAATTTTTTGTTTTTTATATTTTCAATTTCTGGCGTTGAATTTAAATATCCTGTTTTACCCCGTTTTCTACCCCTTTTCTGCATTACTTGAGATACTCCAGCTAAAGGAGGAGGACAAATATCTTCTACCGAGATGTTTAGAACTGAAGATGATGTTGATTTCTGATCAGTGGGGCTTTTTGATAAACTTTCAATCGAAGAAACATTTTAACGCCAATGTTCCGGTGTGACTTCTGGTCAGAACATTCTGGCAGTGGGTTTTGTTCAGAATTTTCTCTATCTGTTGTTATAGACGGCAAAAATTGCCAATCCTCGAAAACATCTGGATTGAATGGTTGTATCCCTGTCTTTTTAAATGCATTGATTGCATTTGATGGTAAAGCACTTTTTAAATACGCTCTATTAAAGAGATTGGCTACTTTAAATTGGGTCACCGTTTTACCTGGATTCTGTTGCAGCCATAATTGAATTTCTTGGCCGTAGTAAATTTGAAGTGGTCTAAAAAATCCTACGTTCAAGGGTTGAACGTGATGAGAACAGTGAGCAGGAAAACAAAACATAATAATACCGTTTTCCTTTGCAGACTGGAGAGCTTCAAAACTTTTGTGACTACCATGGCCATCGAGTAACAACAAAACTTTGTTGGTTTAAGAAGCCTTTGTATACCTTAAAAAATGTTGCAGCCACAAATAGAAAATATCGGAAGTCATCCATCCTTTTGCTTGAGCGAAGGCTATACTTCCAGTAGGTGCATCGATCATAAGTTCATCTTTCTTTCTCTGTCGAGGAAAAATCAAAGCAGGAGGAACATATGTTCCAATTGCATTCATTGTACATACGACCGTAACATGTAGACCGCGCTCTGCACTACTTAAAGCACCAACTTGTTTGCGACCTTTACTAGCATAAATTTTCTTCGATTTCTTTTGCACAGTTGTCAAACCGGTCTCGTCCATATTATAAATGTTTTCCGGTGGAAAGTGAAACTCGTCTAATATATTTGCTAATGCAGTAAAATAGGCACATATATTTGGTTTATTAAAAGCTTGAGCCCTTGCCAACGAAGTATTTTCTGGAGTGCATAATGATATTCGAGGATTTCGCTTTAAAAAGGCTCTGACCCATTTCCAGCCTGCCATCCTGGTTTCCTTATTAAAATTGTGGCTAATATTGTTTCTTTCAGCTACTTCGTATACAAGTTTTCGCAAATCTTTACTAGTCAGGCCAAAAAAACGAGTTTCCATAGTAATAATATGGTCAGCAACTTCCTGTTCAATAGTAGTGGAGAATATTGGTCTTCGTCCTCCTAAATCACCTTTGATACTTCCTTGATGCTTAATAAAGCGCCTTTTCAAAGTCGTTTTTAGAACGTTAAATGTTTTTGCTGCCAGCTTAAACCCCATATTTTTTTCTTGTATGCTTTTTAAAGCTTGTTGCATATTACTCTCGTTCCACTGTTGCCTTTTTTGTAGAGCCATCCCTGTAAAACATTATGTTAATTATTAAGTAACAAAAACTAAAGGTGTGTCCAATTTTATTTTCTTTTTCCTATGATGGACCCCTATTCCGTCATAGGTAACGACACAGGGGTCCATCATAAGCAAATAGACAAGGCAGCAAATTTAATTCTATTACTTTTGTTTTGACCATTTTAACCTTAAACAAAGTATAGTATTTAACAAAGAAAGTGTAGTCATTTTATACAAAACAAAAGCAACACTTAGCTTAACGTATGTTACCAGTAAAATGCTACTTACCAAAAAAAATGATTAGATCAGCAACGCCAAATTTTAATTTTATTTCACAAATTTACTGTTATAACAGCCACGTGTCTGAAACTTTGCAAATACTAAACTACAAACTTCGTGCGCAAACGGCAACCGGCGATGTGTATGTAACCGCGCGCTATTTAAAATTACAGCCGGGGGTCCGTCATAGGCAGGGGTCCAACCATCGAGCAAAAAGACAAAAGAGGGAATGTAAAGGTAGTGGGGGCAAAAATATTGTTAGACAGAAAGTGCGATCTTTAGAGGCCACATTAAACAAGGAAAGCGAGTCTTTCTCCTTGTTTGACATCAAATTTAGTTGGGTTATGTTATTGTTTGTCCCAAATATCACATGAAATCTTATTTATATTGGAAGTTTTTTAACAATTGTGTCGCATTTTAGACTATTGCCGTTAATAATTAATTAAAACTTTCTCGTCTAAGACACATTTTGAAAAATATTATATAGCTACTGTTAATAAGTGTCGGAAAATTTAAATTTGGCGCATTCGCATTTCCGGATATGTCCGCCATCAGAGGCCACTTTTTTGGTCTCCTTTTCATAAGGATTAGATTCCCTCTTTTGTCTTTTTGCTCGATGGGTCCAACATAGGCACACTTCCCCTAGTGAACTGAAACATATTTTTTGTAGTTATAATGGCGACACATTACAAATAACAAAAAATTATTTAAAAAACTTAATAAAAGCTGCAAAATATGTAAACGTTAGTGAAGATGTAAAAATACTTTTTTTTTTAGATGTAAAATATATTTTAAAATGCGAATTCTAAATAAAAATATTAAAGATATGTACAATATCCGCAAGAGAAAAATCACAAAGATTGTAAAATAAATGTCTAAATGATATTTATAAAGTCTCATGTATGACCCGCTTTTCCTTTATGGTCAAATTCTTTACATTTTACCGGCCTTTTATATTTAATTTATGTATTTTAGCAATATTTATTTTGTTTGTAATACACGCACATCAAATCGTAGATTCATTTACAAATTACTTATTAATTTTCAAACCATGTTTTCACAGAAAGTAACTAGTTATGATTTCTTAGTGCAAGATATGGCATCTAGGTATACTTACCATTAACCGTTTAAGTTTCGAAGTTTTTCATTACAGTAATGTAACAACGTTACCATATGATGCATCGTTAAAATATGATACACACAAGTCCCCTGGCTTTATCTCGCTATGACGTCATGCGCAAAGTCGATTAAAATTAGAACGGCAAGTGAGCATATCTTGTTTGTTATAATATCATGATCATGTATTGTGTCTTCTTTTCATCGTTGTTGGTATATTGACTAAAACACATAGTGACAGACGTCTGTATGGATTGATTTTATTCTCATCGAGTTATTATTCTGGTCGTTGTAAAACCCACGAATATGAGCATTGTTCTTTTCTATTTATTAGTCAATGATGAGGTTTCTCTTGGTCGATACATTATCACCAAAATGAATTTTAAAATGTTGTTTTCGTAAGCTTCGATTTTGTATTACCTTCTTAAATTAAATGTGAAAAGAAAGTTCGCAGACATTAAAAATAACGAAGAAAAGACAATTGTAATTACTTTGGTTTTATTTTTAAACAAGAATACAATCTTAAGATATCGCAAATTATTTGATAAGATAATTTAAAACAAAAGAAAAATACAATTGTGGTAAATATCTTGATAGCTATAGTTAAGCTAGGTCAGCTATTCCAATACGGTTGTTTTCTAGATCAAATTCAGTGTAAAACTGTCTCATAAATGCATCTCCTAAAATCCATTGAAAGCCTACGCTGTCAAACTCTGCCGATGAAAAAGTTGTAACGCAGACATTTCCGCGATAGATATCGCGATACTAGAAAGAAATAAAATTTATTTTATATGTCATATATTTATACACATTGCAATTATTTGTATATCCACTTTATTATATCTATCTTACCTTAAGGATATATTGTTCAGGTTTAACTACAAATTTCTTTCCAGACAATGTAAATTCGAGGTCAGGGAGCTCATCTAAGTACTGACAATTGGCATAATAAAGTCCACCTGAATAATATGCGTCAATAGCCTAAAAATATTTTCGTATTATATTGATGATAAAAAATTAAAATATAAAAAGTTTAATATATGTACATCATATTAAGTTTACTAGGTATTTATTGTAGGTACAAGCTAAAATAAAAAGGTTAATTGGAAGTATAAGTAGTTGATATGATAATAATAAATGACAGCTTGAATAATCAGGAGTTCAAGTTTAATAGTTTCAATAAAATATAGATTAGGTATTAAAAAAAATTGAAAAAGGCCAAACCACATATATCTTAGGAATAAAAAAGAGTTCGCAGTTTTTAAAAGGTAGATTTACAAAACAGTTTATTTCTAAGATATGTAGTCACGACACTAGATGCCAACATGAAAAAGTAATTTTTGGAAGACCTTTAAGAAAAATGTATTAGGAAAATGAAAAATAATACCAAAATCGATGGAAATAAGAAATATAGGAAACAGGAGTCAACATAGAAATAAAGAAATAGCATACAATCCTTCAAAGAAGAAAGATGTTGTTGATATGAAATTTTTCATAGGCGAGATAAATGCGCAAATAAAATATCAATAAGTAAATTAACAATACTTTTAAAAATTAAATAGATTGTCAAAAAGTCCCTTGTTAATACAATGAACAATGTAAAATATTCTTGTGTCTCATAGTGTACATATATAGAGTTATGAACACAATCTTACGTCGTTGATAGCCTCAATGTCTTCCCATGGTCCAATAATAAAAGAAGTACCACTATCTATAATAGCTTGACATCCATTGTTACATACAGTTGCGTCTCCAGCAGTAAAGTTGTCCATTTTAACTTGCCAGTAACGTTGTTTCGTTACAGGTAAATAAGAAAAGTCTCCTTTGTAATATTTGGGATCTGATCCACCAAGCACCAATTCTCCACCAACGGTATCATTGACACTAAAATATAATGATAATATAATAAAATATTATTACATTTTTTTTATTTATAATAACCATTCAATACCTATAGCAAACAAAATATTTGTTAAATAAATGAGGAAATAATGCTATGACTTTTTTGGTTAAGAAAGACGCATTGAGGAACTGTTGTAATATAAATGCTAAGAATGAAATTCTAATTCTTCGAATATTCCTTAATTTTAATCCTATTAGACCCTAAATGATTCCCAAATATCAGTATATCTTGTCCTTTAATAGCCGTATACGGTTTAAATAATGGCGATATGGAGAAAAATCTCCTAGAAGTTATATTGAAGAAAAACTGAAATAAAACTTTGAACCTCTCTCCAATACTTTCAAATATTACGGAAGTTAGTTTAGTTGTAATTGTTTTGTAATCTTCGTTATGTCCACAAGAAATATCCATAAGAATATCAGTGTGGTTCAAACTTAACTCACAAGAACAAATAGGTACAGACAATATTTAAGGCTTAACATTAATTTTATGAAAATAATTCAATTATTCAAATCATGAATTTGTTGCTTGTGTGAGTCCATTTCAAATAGGTAAAGAAATAATAAATCAGACTTACTCACAATCAATTTAATTTAACTATCCGACGACCGGTTTCGCTTTCTACAATATGCAAAGCATCTTCAGGTCTCGGTACAAAGTTAAACAAATGCTGAAATGATAAAAACCCATATTAGGGTGTTGTCTAATAAAGATAAAAAATTAGATGTTATAAATTACAATAATTATGCCAATATTACCTGTCTGTGGTTTTATTTAAATGATTGAGTTGAAAAAGGTATAAATATTTTAAAAAGTTAAAAGGACAAGGTAAGGCCCACAAGTTGTCATAAAATCTCTTCTATTGGAATAAATTAATGAATGAGCAAATAAATAAATGAAATAAAATAAAATTACTTACATGCCGGTACTCTATTAATAGATGGATGGTAGAACATGTTTGAAACTACTGTATATTGTTGAATGGAGAACTCAATACTATTATTGCAGTTGTTTGACAGTAAACGGGGAGTTCTTGAGGAGGTAGATTTGATCCAATGAATTTGGATAAAAAATTTGGAAATTCATTGGATCAAATCTACCTCCTCAAGAACTCCCCGTTTACTGTCAAACAACTGCAATAATAGTATTGAGTTCTCCATTCAACAATATACAGTAGTTTCAAACATGTTCTACCATCCATCTATTAATAGAGTACCGGCATGTAAGTAATTTTATTTTATTTCATTTATTTATTTGCTCATTCATTAATTTATTCCAATAGAAGAGATTTTATGACAACTTGTGGGCCTTACCTTGTCCTTTTAACTTTTTAAAATATTTATACCTTTTTCAACTCAATCATTTAAATAAAACCACAGACAGGTAATATTGGCATAATTATTGTAATTTATAACATCTAATTTTTTATCTTTATTAGACAACACCCTAATATGGGTTTTTATCATTTCAGCATTTGTTTAACTTTGTACCGAGACCTGAAGATGCTTTGCATATTGTAGAAAGCGAAACCGGTCGTCGGATAGTTAAATTAAATTGATTGTGAGTAAGTCTGATTTATTATTTCTTTACCTAATTCAATTATTCTTTAAAAAGAAAAGAGAACCCAATTTTAATATTATCAAATAAAACAGAAATACCCATTATATACATATATTCATTAATATAAGGTATTATAAAGCTTCATATATCAAGGCTATTTATTACAAAAACTCAACAAACATGAAGTGAATCTATAACTTATTGAGCTTTGCGTTGAGAAAAAAAATTTAATTTTGCGAAAAAATACCCTATAAAGATATACTTTAACCATAGATTTAACCATAATTTATGTATATTCATTTCGGAAACGTTTCTTGGATGTTTATTTTTTTCAAAACCTCGTTTTAGGCTATAAATTTTATGTAAGCCAGTTTTAAATTTTCAACTTTGCAACTACTTACTGTCCAAGGTAAAAAGAAAATACCGCTTTGTTGATAACACCCTGTTGGACCAAGTTGTCAAATACTGTAGGTATTCCATTAATAGATAGATCGTAGTAAGCCAATCCCAAAATACCGTCGAAAGGGTTGTTAATAAAGGCTGCACCTGGTTCATTAGTGGTTTCAGCAAATATTTGATTTTTTACGGTTAGACCTCCCACCTAAAATAAAAGTAAACCTAAATAGTTTTAATTTAGTCGTAGTAAATCAAGATTAAAACATCAAATGAAGATGATTCATATTAAAAACCAGCTACACTGCATAAAAAAAATAAATATTAAATATGTCTCCAATATATTATATTATCATGTAATATATTAGTCATTAGCAATTTAGCTCATTTCATGTCCGGTAAATTTCATTCTTAGTTTCGCTCTGACTAGCATGTGGTTTAACCCCCGCATCGGCACATCTTAAGCTTTAATATCTTACAACCAGCTTCTCCATTTATATTCAATTGTTTGTGGTCTATTTGGTTCTTGTACCTCCCACCTGGTGATTCCATGTTTCCTTATGTGTTTCCTTTCCCATTTATATTTAAAGATGCTTCCACCTATTAAAAGTACATTTTGTTTGTAAAATTCGATTAGTCGATTTTCATTGCCGTTCCTCGTCCCTATTCCCTCCTTTTCCATCTCTTGTTCATGCCCTGTATTGCCTATTGTAGTCTCCGATTATTATTTTTATATTTCTTCTGAATTTTGTTTGTAAAATTCGATTAGTCGATTTTCATTGCCGTTCCTCGTCCCTATTCCCTCCTTTTCCATCTCTTGTTCATGCCCTGTATTGCCTATTGTAGTCTCCGATTATTATTTTTATATTTCTTCTGAATTTATTGTTATATATTCTATATCTTATTATACGTTGTGTGTAGCTGTTCATAAAATTCTTCCTCTCATCTTCGTCGTTTTTATTTGTAGGAGCATATACATTTACTACTACTTATAATGTTGCAGTAACTTGCCTTCAGTCTTGCCCAAATAATTCTTTCTGATACTGGCTTCCACTATATTAGAGCCTTTCTTTCCTTTTGGGTATTACTAGTTCTCTCAGTAGTACTACTCTCTTTTCGTGTTTATCATGTACGCTTGTGTTTCCAGAATTTGCTTTCCTACTCGGGTTAATCCACTGCCATTCCCTCGTATTTAATTTAGTCAACAATTTCTAACTCGTACTTATACTCTTGGCTTATATGCTCCAATTTGCCAGTTTTGTAAATGTTTCTTACATTCCATGCTCTTATGAATATGTTCTCTCTTGTGTCTTAGGATTTATCTTGCATTCTCGCTCTTTTTCTATTTTTAACCTTGCTCGATTCCTTTTTATTGACTATGTCTGTCATCATTTGTGCTATTATTTGTATATTTTCATCTTCTATTGTTTTTTGGGTTTCTCTGGCTTACTGTATTTATTTCATTTGTGTTTTTTTACCTATTATAATGTATTGTATTTTATTTTAACAATTTTATCCTTATTTATTTCTTCGTTGGCGACTTCTCATATTTTTTCATGTTCGAGTTAATTTCATGTAATCGAATAAACTATCTTCGCACGTCAAAAATATTGACAATATCATTTTAAAATCACCTATTTTATGTTGGTTGGGTTGAGATAAAGTCTGAAACCACCTTAATATCTTTGAAACAAAAAAGAGACTATTATGAAACTTTGCATGCCAAATAATACATTCATCAATAATTCTTTGTTTTAAATCCTACTAACATATTGATCGCCTAACGTAAACAAGTAATTTTAGACAGCCCAAAAGAAAAAATCTAGCGAATTAAGGCCCATAGAATGAACAGGCCACTTTATGAACTCTTTACGTCCAATACATCAATTTAAAAAATTCCCCTTCAAAACATTTACAATACCCCGTTAATAGTGAAGAAGTTACATATTAATAGTTATTCTATTATATACCTTCTACGTTTTATCTTACCTCTACGTCATCTCTGGAAACAAAACCTTCAACTGAACCAGATCCATAAGTGATTAGAAATTCTGTGCCATTTTTCGAGTATGTGGATGACTTGTCAGAGTCGTATTGTTTATGATTTTCTACAAATGCAAAAAATGCTTAAATTTGTTATATCTTGTGCTTAAATGGTGGTAATCACCTGCATATAGTAATTTAAAAAATCTTACCTCTGTATCCCGTAATTATTTATATAGTGAAATATTTATTCACAGCAATGCGATTTCGTTTAGAGCAGATTGTTCTAGTAAAGTAAATTGCACTATTTTAGTAATGAAAATATGAAACAAGTAATTTCTAAATTAAATTTAAAAATTCTTTTATAATCTGTTTTTACAGTATTAATACGAATTAATAGAATGTTTCGAAATCGACTAAAGTTAACGATTTTGACCAGGCTTATCTGATGTTTGAGGATTTGTGAAGATTTATACTTGTAATAAGTTACCAATTTCAACCAAATAAACTATAACTGTAAAATATTGTAAAAATTTAAAAGAAAATACATTGAAAAGTAATTAACTACATAAATTATAAAAGATTTACTTACTACATCCACTGTCTGTATTGCACTTTGATGAAGGAACCCAAAGATTTGAAGAACCAGTATCAAATATTACATTGAACTTTTGTTGTGGTGTTCCAATGCTTATTTCTCCATAATATTCAGTCTACAATAAATATCTTATATATAATATTATTTTATACATAAAGTATTTTCTCTTAGTTTATTTAAATTTTTAGTTCATATATACACATTATATATATATATATATATATATATATATATACACATATATATATATATACACATATATATACATATATATATATATATATATATATATATATATATATATATATATATTATATACATACATGTGGGTATATAAAATATGTTAATGAATAAAAACTCACATCGGAATAATCTGTCAAGATAACTGATCCAGCTTCATATTTGCGTTGGCCCAGAGCTCTATTGTTAGGTCTGCCATAAGTTGTTAGTCTCTTCGCCAAAGTTGTATCTCTCTTAAGGGGTACTCTAAAAATTAATTAACATTATTTCATTATATCTAATTAAATAAAGCCTTAATATTAATTGTCACACCTACACTTATTTGGACAAGTCAACAAGAAATCATTGTACCTACATAAACGTTACTAACAAAATTTTAAAAATATGTGAGAACAAAATTTATTAAAATACCTGATAAAGTTGCTGCTTGCAATAGCAGTTACTGCTAATAAAATCAAACTCTGGAAATACATTTTGATATTATATTTGACTGCTTGATATTTAATGCTTTTATACTATTTTAAAGATTTAATCATGTAGGTACGATCAAGTACCCTTTAATTTTTAAACGATCGGAAATATCCGTTATCTAGTAAAAATTTGCATGGCTTATCGATGTATCCATCAGATGATACTTAGTTCTTTTATCTCATTCTCTAAGTAATGTATTGAACGAATTGTTGTTTGTAGTTAAAATAAATTATTTGGCAATAAATAGTTTAAAGTCTTGTTGTATAATTCTGATTTTAGAAATTCACTTAATTTTTTATAATCTACTTCAGCTTTATTCCAAAGATACCTATTTAGAAGATATGTATAAAAAATGTACATGTAAAGATATATATATATGTATATATATATATATATATATATATATATATATATATATATATATATATATATATATATATACACATATATATACAGGGCGGTCCTTAAGTAATTATACAAAAAGAAACCGTCGATTCTGCACTTTAAAATATTACGATTTAAGCCAAATTTTTTTAATAAAATGTTGATATTAACAAAGATACAGGGTGTTGAAGTGGAAATTTATAATTTGAGTTTTCGCTATAACTTTCATGTTTGTGAACATTTATGTATAAAAATTCATAACTGGGTACTATTGAACATCAGGAATTATAATTTGATGCATACTTTAATGTAGCTGATAGAGAGCGCCACATATGTGGCATACATCTGCACTTAACTTTTTTGCTCTTACTCCGGTGTTTGTGATAAAAAATATTAAAGATACATTATTTTAACAAAGAAAAAGGTATACTTGTTAATAACTTCAAAACTCAATAGTTTTCGAGATAATGTCTATATAATGCTGCCTTTCAACTATCGCATCTTCTACAACCGTCCAGTCGTCGACTGCTTCGTGGTCCACCTCACCATTTAATAATTCTTCAAAATGTTTTTTCCATTCCGTCATTATTTCTGCCGGATCGCTAATTAAATTTCCGTCTTTACCTTTCATATAACTACAGTGTCTTTGGTAACCTTTTCCCATCTTTGTACTTCTTGATAGAACGACCTCACCTCTTTGTTTTTAAACTTCTGTTCTACCTCTTTTAAATTCAACTCATTGTGGTGTATCTTTTTTCTTCTACACAAAGCTTTCAATCGTCCTCGAATTATTCTATATTCTTGTTTTTTACACTCTCTATTATCTGTTAATATTTGTTGTCTGATCTTCTTCTTTTCCTTTGCTATCACCTGACACTCTTCGTCAAACCAATCTTTGTTTGTACTTCTCTTGGAGTCGCACTTAACTATTTTCTCGCTAGCTGCTCCTACAGCAGATTTAATTTGTTCCCAGGCTTGATCTGTCTGTAAATTTTGGTCACATTGTTGTAGAATTTTATTTATTTCTTCTTTATATTTATTTTTTATTTCTACTTCCTTAAGTTTTTCAATATTGTACTTTCTCTTCGTTTTATTGTTACATTTCTTTTTTTCATCCAGCCTCCTCCCACATGTGGCTTTAACGAGGTAATGGTCCGAGTCGATTTCAGCTCCTCTCATACTTCTTACTTTCTGAACGATATTCATATATTTACTTTCAATCATAACATGATCTATTTGATTCACCGTCCTTCCATCTGGGGAAACCCACGTGCCTTTGTATATCTCTTTTCATTTTAGTTGTGTGCTTCTCACCACCATGTTTTTCTCCATGGCAAATCCAATAAGTCTTTGACCATTATCGTTTGTTACTTCGTGTTTACTGTGGTTACCAGTTACTGCAGTGTACCTACAGAGATTATTTTCCCACTATAGCATTACAATCACCCATTATTATTTTTACATCACGTTTAGGTAGCGCTCGTATTCATCATTTAGCTGTTCATAGTAAAGATCTTTTATTTCGTCGTCCTTGTCTTCTGACGGTGCGTGAATATTGATTATACTCCAATTCCTTTTCTTAATTTTAATTCGTATTGAACACATCCTATCAGAGATAGGATTAAAAGCTATCACTTTGTCCTTGATACATTTAGCTACTAAAAAACCAGTTCCAAGCATTCTTTACCTCCACTTTTGAAGAGCACCATATCTTCTATATCAGTTATTTCCTAATATCAACATTTTATTAAAGCAATTTGAATTAAATCGTAATATTTTAAAGTATAGAATCTACGGTTTCCTTTTGTACAATTACTTAAGGACCACACTGTATATATATATATATATATATATATATATATATATATATATATATATATATATATATGTATATTTAAAACTACAGCTAAGATTAATACTATTACAGGAATTAACTCACCAGTCTTGTGGTTTGAACTGCGTTTGTTATCATTGGGCCGAGCTTTCGACATCCTATTCGATGTCTTCTTCAGGGCTTCCGAGGTCTATCTTAGTGTTCTCTTATATTTGTTATATCCTTCCCTTTCATTTAACGCATTGCACGCTTCATTCGAACCAATAACGTCGGAGATATGATGTAATGCTGTTTTGACAATGGCGCAATGTGTGTTTTTTTCTGTTTCAATATATTCGCTAAATAGTGAAAGGGAGAGGAAGCATAACCATTGAATTATATCGTTTTTTATTCACTTTAAGCCATGAAGGTACATAAACAAAAATGAAGAGAATTATATTTTAATAATTTTTACCTCTTTCATTTTTTTGCGGAAATCAATATTTGAGGTCTTACGTATGCGGTAAATGCGCGAGCGTAAGACGTTGTAGGAATTGTTTTCCTTGTACTTATAGGTTTTCAACTTTTCGAGAAAAACATTTGAACTTAAATTACCGCAATTACGATTTCCTATAATTTGTTCTTTGCAATTTTTTTATGTTGTCGATATTTTCCGTGTTACGGAAGAAAATAATGTCAAAGTATAATTATTAATTCTCTCATTTATTATTAACTGTACAACATACATGTACATTAACAAAACGGAGAGAATTATATTTTATACATATATATATATATATATATATATATATATATATATATATATATATATATATATATATAACAAGCGAGTCTTCTACAGCTGGCGCCGCTTCTCGCATCCTAATTTCCAGCGTTTTCTGTCGAAGCAATCTTCAGTTGTTAGATCTCTGGCGGTCATTGCATCGTCGACATCGTCTCTCCAGGATCGTCTTGGTCTACCTCGTTTTCTTCTAGTTGGCGGAGTCCATTGTTCTATTTTTTTTGGCCATCTATTTTCCGGCATTCTCTGAAGATGTCCATACCAGTTAAGTCTTTTGGCTTCGATTGTGTCTATTATATCTACATCGATTTCCATTTCTCTCCGAATATCTTATATACAATTTTGTAATGCTGTTTGTATATTTTATACAATTTTGTTTTTTTTTTTTAGTTTTTGTGCTACAATCAACATTTAAGGTCAAACCTTAGCGAACTCTAGGCGGTGACGTCATCAGCAGCAGACCATAAACAGAAACGAACCTACGACCTTAAATATTGATTTTAGCAAAAACATGAAATAGATCAAAATTAAATTAGCAATTTAAGTACGTTCTTTAAACCAAGACGTTTGCATACTTTAATCTCTCCGCAAGATTAATAAGGAAACAATACGGAATCAAATTGATTACATAATAGCAAATAAGAGATTCCGCAATGGATGACTATCAGTTAAAAGTAGCCCCGGTGCTGACATATCGGCAGATCATGATCATGTTAAATTTGGGTTAAGATTTAAAAAGGTTACAAAAAAGAATAGTAACAAAAAATGTGATATGAGAAGACTAAAAGATAATGTAACAAAAGAGGATTATTTAAAAAATAATAATAAGTAACATGGAGCAAACATATAATCCAGAAGAATCACTCTAGAATATGTGAAACCTTTAACAAGATCAGAGAAGAAAATCTAATAGAAAAGAAAGAGAAGAGGATAAGTTGAATATATGACAATATACTGCAACTCATGGAAAAAAGAAGAACACTAAAGAACAACAAAAGAATGTACAAAAATATCCAGAGAAAAATAAGAACCGAAATACGAAAGTCCAAAGAAAATTTGTTAAAAGAGATAGAGTTCTTGGAACAAAAACACGATACATTTAATATGCATTAAAAGGTAAAACAAGCAGCTGGTCTTCAAAAATCCAACACAGCCAGCAAACTGCAAGAACAATAGGGGAACATCGTCACAGATAAAAATCAAGAAATATTCATATGGACCAAATACATACAAAACCTTTTTGATGATAATAGGTCCGAGAAACCTCTGTCCTACATATGTAATGACCAGTTACCAATCACATCAGATGAAGTGCAAAAAAGAAATATCACCATTAAAAGATAGCAAAGCTTCTGGGCCTGACAATTCATATGCAGAACTCATAAAGCTATTTAACACGGTATTTAACGACTAACAAAAATATTGAATTTATTTATATTTATATTTAAATATATATTTAAATTATTATTTATATTTAAACGGAGGAATACCACGATCATGGCTGAAGTCAACGTTTATTGCTCTACCAAAGAAAACAAAATCCGTATCCAAAAAAGCAGTAGAGGGTATTGAGGCCGGAATTTGAATTAACGGAAAATGTATCAATAACATTAGATACGCGGATAACACGGTGGTATTCGTTGATGGTTATGAAACCCTCCAGTTGTTAATGAATAGAATCACGGATGTAAGTCGGAGATATGGACTTTCACTAAACATTAAGAAAACACAATATATGATGATCTCTAAGAAATAACAGCAAATTGGAAGACTCAGTGCGAATGGTCAACCAATAGAAAGAGTAAAACCATACATCTACTTTGGTACGAACGTCAATGAAAATTGGAACCATTCCCTAGAAATAAAATGTAGGATAGAGAAAGTAAGATCGGCATTTCAAAAAATGTCTAAGCTATTCAAATACCATGATTTATCAGTACCCATAAACATCAGGTTACTACGATGTTTTATCTTTCCGGTACTATTGTAGTTGAGTCGCGGATTCTCACAGACGCTACCTGCAAGAA